TAGTTTGGGGTGGCATAATAAGTAACTTGAAATGAAGCTTTTGAGTAAATTATGTATATGTACCCAGGATTAAATTTTTTTGCTTGAGAATGATACAAGTAATTTCAGTTTGTGTTGGTCTAGGGCGCGTTATTTTTTTGCGGCCTACATAAAATTAAACCTTGTTTATTTGGCCCGTGTTAGCCTTTGTGTTTGACAAGCTTGCTTTAGTCAATAACTTTGAATTTGAATTTCAAAATGGAAGCCTATATATCAGAATTAGATAGTCTTCAGTTTGACTATCACAACATTAAACTTGCAATTAACTTACAGCTGTACTTACTAAAGTGAAAATTCAAGGTGAATTCAAAGTGAACTTCAAATTTAAAGCCAAAATAGCCCAACTGGAAAAACTAACTATGTCAGCTACACATCCAGTTTGACTATTTGGTATTACATTTGAAATTCACTTTACACTCCTTTTGATCTCACACCTTAGTGAATAATTAAGATTGAATTCACTTGAAATTTTCATTTTTGACGGAATTATTTATTTATGTGAAAATTGTTGGACATTCAAAGTAAATTCAATGTGACTTTCAAATTTAAGAATAAAGTAGTCAAACTGGAAGCATAGCTGGCTTGAAGAAATTACTGTTTTAAAGTTTTGGAAATTGTAAAATGTTACATTCACTTTCAATTCCTGACACTTCTCACTTTAATGGAAAACCATCCATATGTTTAATAATAACCACAAGATTTCCAATAATAATAAGTAAGGTGTCTCTGAAGGCCATTAGAAAACATTAATCTTTTGTTTTTTGAAATATATTTTTATGATCATTGCATTATGGGAATAGCTAACCGTTTTTAGTTTGTTATTTTTCTTCACTACATGCGTTCCGTGTTGCAGTGAAACAAGTTATCCTTTCAGTTGTTTCGCCATTCAGCACTTATTCATGATATGCTTAAACACACTTGCACGTTCGCATAAAATTTCATGTGTTTAAACTGTTCGTTTCTGTTTCCCTTGCCATAGGGTTTCGTTTTTTCTTGCTAAATGTATTTTGCATAAATCCTTTCGTGGATTACAGTCATTATTTCATGTATATACCAATATCAATTCTATTACTGTTTAGAGGTATAAGTATTATATTGGTCAAACCAGCTCACATATCTGTATGGATCATTTTGACTCCCACGCTTTCAGGGGTTTTCCACATTTCAGTCAAATTGGTTCAGCCTACAATTACATGCCTCATTTCTGTGTTTTCAACTACGACACAACATATACATAAGTATACAGTTTCCTTTTCCAAATCATGAATTCTCGGGTTGAATCACACGTACTGATCCAACCAATCATACATCTTTTTACATTACAGTAATATTATATACAACTTTACTTCACTTCAAAGAATTGTTTTCATCCCTGCCCCTTTGTTGTTGTCAATTATATATCAGCATAACGCATTTACATATAGGCCACGGCCTCCTCCACCCCATCCTCTTTTTCACTTGACACCCATCATACATCCCCCCCCGTTTCTAGCCAGAATTTGGCATTAAAGACACATTTATATTGTCATGGTATATCACTACACTTCATTTACCATTAAAACTCCAATCAAGCCCTTAAAAAACACTGCTTGTACGGGTTACACAGTCTACATCATTCCCATACAGTCAACACTCACTATATTACCCTTTTCTTTTTATTTTACCTGTTTCAGGCTGTCCAGGTTTATATATATTTCACCACACGAATTCGCTGTGAGATATTTATACTACCAGGTACGTACGCCTGCTCATATGGTGTTCTGACATACATTTCATTTCTTCCCCCTAGGTTAGAGTACTGGCAATAGGATCAAAGGCTCCCCAATAGGTATTTACCCCTTCTTGGCATTTGCCATCAGTTAGTGGTCCCGCGAGGCCAACACCCCGCCTCAACGTTTCAGAGGCAAACACCCATCGGTCCACACGTGAGCTAGTCGCCTCGCATGTCGTCTAGAGAGTGCCTCACCTGTCACTCCCTTTCCCTGTTTTTCTGTGTTACAGTCACCAAGAGGCCTACAATCCTGCCACTACGACGAGTGGCCTCAAATCCCCTCGCGCCAACGCATAGATAGAGCCTCTCAAGCCACTTGGCAACTAGTAGGGCCTCACCTGTCACCAAACAAGTGTAATGTTTCGCCATTCGGCTTAGCTAGCCTGCCAGTACGATCTTGGTTGTTTTCATACACTAATTAATTAGTTTATTTTAGTATGTCTCAGGAAGGGGTAGAGGATTTCTCCCTGCCTAGCACTCCGGCTAGAGCTATCACTCCTACACAAGGAGGAGAGGTAACTAGTACAGCATCAATCAAATCCTGGATGATCCCTCGTATAACTACGGAATTGAGGAGATGGCAAATCCCCTACCCCGCTACAGCAAGGAAAGCAGAACTTTTCAAACTGCTACGTACTTCAACTAACAACATGGATGCATCGGTCACCACGGCCCTTACTCTAGCAGGGCCACCCGCTGCTGCTTCACAAGCACCAGCCGACTTGCTATTGGTTCCTCCAACCATCACCTCAGATGACCAGGAAGTTAGCCCTGCTCAAATGATCCCTGAGCACATTAAAAGAGATATAGAACTTAGAGCTCCATCAGCTGTTCCATGGCCATTTAAAACAGTCTGATTTTTAAACATACCCAGTCCAGCATAGAACTCAGAGCTCCATCAGCTGTTCCATGGCCATTTAAAACAGTCTGATTTTTAAACATACCCAGTCCAGCATAGAACTCAGAGCACCATCAGCTGTTCCATGGCCATTTCAAACAGGTAGCCTTCTGGAAGACTGACTTTCCCCACCCACCCCATGGTCATTTTCTCATTTATAGATAGTCTCCCTCACAACTTTCAATCTACTGAAATGACAGGTGCAACCACTGATCAGCACACCCTTTCAATCTCTTAACCCTATAGAACGCATACCCTCTCTCAATACAAAACCATATACGTCTATTTAATTTTTTTTTCTCTCGCAATTTCTGTTTCATTTTCAACTACACACCTCATACCACTAACATGAATCATAATATAACCATACTGTTATTCTTAATAACCCTTTTCTCAATCCAATTTTGTTCACACCACTACCAGCATAAGCACACACCTCAAACTGGAACACAAATTATAATACACCATGGCCTGCTCTGTTCCTTTAACTTATCTGCTGAGTGCTGGTGGAGAGTTATAAAAAATAGCCCTCCTACCCCAAACTCACAAAATTATAAATTATCCCATTCACTATATGGCCAAACAAAGATGATGTCCAAATTCCTACTCCTTATGTTACTTGCCCTTGCAAATGATGTGGCGTCTAACCCTGGTCCTCCAGCTAATTCTAGTCCTAATCTCCCCACTAAAAAAGGCCTCTCTTTTGTGCACTGCAACATCCGTAGTTTACTCCCTAAACTGGATGCACTGCAAGCCTGGTGTTCCCATTACAAACCAAAAATCATTGTGCTCTCAGAATCATGGTTAACGGCTAAAATACCAGACACCGCCATTGCAATACAGGGTTATTCATGTTTTAGAAATGACAGAGCAAAGAGAGGAGGAGGCATTGTTATTTATGTTGACAATTCCATAAAGTTTACCCCTTTACAAAACCTTAGTCCTCCTGCCATCTTTGATTTCCTTTCTGGCACAATTGAGATCCTGTGCAGTAAATCAATCATTGTTGCAGGAATCTACTGCCCACCTAGCTCCCCTGTGCATTCCCTTTCTGACATAGCCCATCTCCTTAGTGAAACCATAGCTCAAAACCCAAAAAGTGAACTGTTGGTCTTTGGAGATTTTAATATTGATTGGCTGAACCCTAAAAATAATAGTTATTGCACGCTGTTTAAGACTTTGCAGCTAACGCAATTAATCTCCTCCCCAACTCGCATAAACATTAAAAGCCATAACCATACCCTGCTAGATTGGATTCTCTCCACTTCTCCTGATAGAATCCAGGAGGTTGGTGTTCTCCCAAACACGTTCAGTGATCACTGTTTAGTGTACTGTGTGCGCAAAATAAAGGCTATTAAATCCTCTCCCAAGGTTAAAATAACTAGGTCCTTCAAAAAATATAATCTTGAATCCTTTTTAAATGACATCAAGAATCTCTCATGGCACAGATTAAACATTATCCCAGATCTAGACTGTGCTGTTGAATACTTTCAGTCTGAACTCCTACAAATTTGGAATTTACATGCCCCGCTGCGTAAGGTGAGGGTAAAAGGAGCACATATGAACTGGATCACAGCTGACCTCATCCAAATGTACCAGTTTCTGGATTCTTTGTGGTCAAAGTTTAAGCGTACTGGCTCTATGAATGATCACGGTGCATATAGACAATGTATGCACAAAACAGACAAAACTGGCCAAGGCCCAATATTTCTATGAAAATCTGAACAGTAACATCTCAAACCCTAGAAACTTTTGGAAAGTCATAAATAAACTACAAACTCCCCCAATCCACTCCCAACCCTCCACTGTCAAAGTAGATAACCAAACCCTGCAACTTCCCTTAGATGTAGCAAATGCCTTTATCAATTATTTTGTCGGATGCTCTACTGCCCTGATTGCCAAGCTAATAAATGACATGCATCCTGAAACTACAAATGTGGATCAGGCCCCACTAAATTTGCAAAGGCCCAATATAGATAAGTTTAATTTTAGACCTGTTAGTGTCATTAAAAAACATCTTAATAATCTAAAAATGAAAAACCAGTCCAGACCTGATCAAATCCCAGCAATGCTGTTGAAGCTCAGTGCGCCGGCAATTGCTAAACCCGTCTCAACTCTAATTAACGAATCCTTGGTGTCTGGATACATACCCAAACTTTGGAAGACTGCGAGAGTAGTGCCTATCCATAAAAGTGGTGACACTACTTTGGTTTCTAACTATCGCCCAATATCATTGCTCCCGGTATTGTCAAAAATCTTAGAAAAATGTGTCCATACGCAACTTTGTGAGTACTACCAACAATTAAACTATCTGACCCCTGATCAATCGGGCTTTCGCCAGAATCACTCCACTACAACTGCCCTCCTAAAAGTTTGCAATGACATCCAAACTGGCATGGAACAAGGAGACCTAACTGGAGCTATTTTCCTTGATTTTGCTAAGGCCTTTGACACAGACCACGGCATTCTACTGCACAAACTCGAAAACTCAGGTATTGGTGATCATTCTCTAAACTGGTTTCGATCGTATGTATCAGATCGTTCGCAATATGTGTCCATTTCTGACAGTGACTCCCTCCCTCTCCCAGTCATGTGTGGTGTTCCCCAGGGTTCCATTCTCGGCCCCCTACTATTTACATTATTTATAAATGATCTGCCTAATGTCTGCCAATCCTCAAATGTACACATGTACGCAGATGACACGGTAATCTATGCGAGCAAATCCAATCTACCGCAACTTGAGGCTTTGCTCCAAGACCAGTTTACAGAGGTAGAAAAGTGGATCGCAAAAAACAAACTCTTCCTGAACACTGACAAAACTGTCACAATGATCTTTGGAACAGTACCTAAATTACACAAATTACACAATTCCCACCTATCCATCAAAACAAATTCAAATGGCACACTGACCGCAGTCCACTCTTTCAAATACTTGGGTATGTTATTAGAACCCAATCTATCTTTTGGCCTACACATAGAAAAGCTTGCATCTAAACTTTATCCAAAATTAGGTGCCCTGTACAGAAACAAAGCCTGAAAAAGCCCTACAATAAAGGAAAAGATTGTACAGCAAATGCTGATGTTAATCATTGATTATGGGGATGTAGTATATGCGTCTGCATAGCAATCCCATATTAATAAACTCAACACATTGTATAACTCGTTCTGCTGATTTGTGCTACAATGTAATTACAGGACCCATCCTTGTGACATGCTAAAGGAACTAAACTGTCTATCGCTGGAATCCAGACGCACCCTTCATCTTTCCAGCCATGTTTTTAAGAGCTTTTCTGGGAAACTCCCACCCTACCTGAACAAAATGCTTTCCCCAGCTGTTCCCACTTTCTATAAGCTCCGATCCAGTACAAGCACTTTACTTAGTGTACCTCAATACAAAAAGAAAGCGGCCCGATCATCCTTCTTCTACAGAGCGCCGCAATTGTGGAACGACCTCCCGCACAATTTAAAATCTTCCCTAAGCCTAAAGTCATTTAAGAGATCCCTCTCTACATACCTCAAAACAGAATGCACGTGTCATGGTTGATTATATATTTCCTGCCTGTTCTATGTTAAATTTTGTATATATTATGTATTAATATTGTTTTTGTATTTTGTTGCAACTAATGTAACAATGCAATGATTTGTGGACCCAGGACATACTTGAAAATGAGAGAAATCTCAATGTATCTTTCCTGGTAAAATATTTTATAAATAAATAATATCCTGGAAGGTAAAGACGTCAACCTGGCTTCTCTACTGATTGCCTCCCAGGATATTGTGGAGAATAAGACTTATGCTTATAATGATGTGTCTGTTGTTGTCAGATCTAGGGACGCTCGCCTAAACAGGAAACTGACTATTCCCGAGTTTGTACTGGCTTTTGGTATTTACGGGGATGTCATCTGTGCGGTCTATCTCAATAGACGGGAGGAGTTTGATCTTTATATGCACAAGCTGGTAGACCTGGGCAACAAATATGGTGGATCAGCCTTTTATGACTACCATAGGTCTTTTTCTGCAAAAGTGTCTGGAGCCTTCTCCCAGTATGGAACAAGATCCAACTGGGGAAGGATTGATACCGTCATATTTTGCAGACACTTTGCAGGTCTAAGAACACCGGCTCGTGCATATTGCTCCTCTACTGCACAAACAATAAATTTCTGTCCCAACACGGCAGACGAACATGCCTCCACGCAAGGAGCTAGTTCCTCTGGTGTTCCAGAGAAATTGACCAGAGACAAACTGGGACGCCCGATCAAGTTTCTGGACAAGTCCCAGATATGTAATAATTTCAATGCTGGGTCTTGAAATTATAGTGGTTGCAGATTATTGCATATCTGTTTAAAATGTTTTAGCCTTATCTAACGTCCATAAATATTTCGGTATTTACAGCATTTCTGTCATATCACCCGTCTAAACACTTGGTGGACGTTCTTTTCTCTGGTTTAACAGAAGGCTTCCACACAGGTATTCTACACATACCGTCCGGGATTCTGGAATGCCCTAATCTACAATCAGCACAACACAACCACACAGCTGTGTACACTCTCATAGCCCAAGAAGTTGCTGAGGGTTTCTTATTGAGGCCTTTCAAGGCTCCTCCGTTCAAAGAATGGCTCACTAACCCCATTGGTATTGTCAAAGGGAAATCTTCCCTTAAACAGAGACTCATCATTGACCTATCTGCACCACACTCATCTGCTAACCCCAGTCTTAGTTCCCTCATACCCTCCGAAGAATTCTCCCTGCAATACATCACCATAGATCACGCCATTACAGCTTTCATACAAGCGGTGGTCGGAGCATGGCTTAGTAAGACCGATATTACTAATGCCTTTAAATTGCTGCCAATCCACCCCACGCTGTGGCACCTGCATGGCATCAAGTGGTCTGTGAACTACTATTTTTTCTCCTGTTTAACTTTTGGGTCCAAAAGTAGCCCAGCTATTTTAGACACATTCGTCGAAGCATTGTGCTGGTTACTATTGAACATAGCCAGATGCCCTACTGTATTACACTACCTGGATAATTTCTTACTGATCAAGGAGAATTCTTCCCCTCCCAGTAGCCTCAAAGCTACCACCAAGCTATTCGAGCAGCTAGGTGTCCCAATCTCCCCTAAGAAAATGGAGGGGCCAGACACGATTATCACATTCCTGGGTATTCAATTAGACGCAACCACAATGCAAGCAAACGCAGCCTGTGCAAACAATGTCTAGGTCCCAACTTCAGCTTGTACATACTCTAAGAGCCAGCATTAATACTGTTTTATCTATATATAAAGTATTAAAAACATGAATCATCTGTGTATTAGGCTGAAGTTGTTGGGTGTGGGTATAGGTTGGAAGTTGTGGTTGGTATTGAGGAACCTGCCAGGGTGGGTCCTTGAACGCCAGCTGGGCCAGGTTCTCCCTTATCACCAGGTTCTCCTTTGTTTCCTTGAGCACCAGGTTCACCATTGTTACCCTTAGGTCCAGGGGAACCTCTGGGGCCTTGAGGTCCAGGAGCACCACAGGCACCAGGGAAGCCAGGGACACCAGCAATACCAGGAGTACCAGTGGGGCCAGGTTGACCGGGAGAACCGGGTTCACCACAAGCACCTCGGGGTGAACCACTGCTATCCATAATTAAAACAGTGCTGAAGTTGCCACCTCTACAAAAGTTAAACCCTTTGATCAAATCCTCTACCTCTGCCTTCAAAACTTTTCTGATTCAATCTCCTATCACCCCCAAATGTCCTTGTCTCGCCTGCTTAAGATCACAATCCTTTGTGACCAATACAACATACTTTTCCCTCTTTCTTTATATCAAAACAACCTGCTGTATCTTTCTCATGAATATTCCCAAGAAATTCAGTTGGGGTCAAAGAGGGCCAGTCACAGACCAACAGTTTGACCAAAAGTGAACAAGGAGGAAGCTGTAACGGCACCCTCAGCATAAAAGGGTTAAACCACCGTTTAGTAGATCTTCCCTTCCAGAGACACAGGCACAGCTACTGCAGAACACCAATCCGCCGAACAGGAAACCATATGAATGCTGTAAACAGCCGAATAGGAAAAAAACATACGAATAGGTTTACACTCCTAGCAGTCAAACTGGAACAGCATACAATAAATGCCCCCAAGAACGAGACAAAGCTCCATGTTGAGGGTCAAGCAATGAACAGACAAAGCTGTGGGTTTATTGTGCTTATGTACACATTCTTACACATTAGTACCACCCACAGGTTTTGGAACACTTACATTTTCAGAATCAGCATACTCCAAATACAAACATATGTCAAATTCATACAAATTGGTCCAATGCTTCAAAAGATAGATCATAGTCCTTTTTGACCAAAGGAAGCATGGCTTTTCTGCCCAAAACCAGTTCCACAGAGTCTTCTATCCTGGAGATAATTGGGAAGTAATCCAATTATCTCCAAAGACAGAAGCAAAACTCCATTGAACACATGGCAGCAAAAGACAATAAAACACATAAAAACATAACTGTGCAGCCATTGCACAAAATAGGTACATTCAACATATCCCCAGATAGCTCAGATCTGAGCGCACATTATTACTGAATGGCGCTCAGAGCACACACATACAGTTCAATTGCCATGGAGCCAAAGTCTTTCCCATAGTCTTTCATTATACGAATGGGCTCCATGCCATAGCTATCTGGGGTATCACCGCTCAAACAGGGAAAGCACCAAATGACCCGGCTTTCATGTCTTTGCAGGGGAAAATCAAGCCTTTTAACATGAGGCCATAATCCAAAGGCAACAGACGAGCAACCAGGCTTCTCCAATGCAATGTGACGAGATTGGTCTCGTCACAGAAGCATATTCCATATGCAGGTCGAGATTACCTAACACACACCTCCTCTTTGTGTACACCTCTTTGTGTACCACACAGATATAATATTAATAAGCTTTTGAAGATTTATTGTATATGTATAGCATGGTTGTCTAGGGGTGTATACATAAACAGTGAAAGCAGAGTCTTCATGTAGGGTTTGCAATACTGACAGTCTGGGTCATAGGTGCAATGCAGACATGCGGTTAAGTACTTTTCCATTGTCGGAATACATTGAAAACACTAATATATTGCAAATATTAAAATCATATTACAGCCGTTTCCTATACCTGCCAGGATATGGTTGTAATACTTCAATTGAGTTCAAATTGAGTATCAAAGTCTAACCACAAAAACTAAATTTTATATGCTTATCAAAAATGAGTTTAACCCCTTAGCGATTTAATAGAGTTTAATAGGGTGACCTCTTCCCATAATATGGTTCCTTTTATAATTATTATATTGTTTATTCTCTTCTGGGTCTGCAAAATGCTTTTAATATACCAATACAAATATATAATACAGTAGTTTAGAATTGCCTCAAAAGAAATGATCTGATCTCTATTAAAAATACCATTTCATCATTTTGCTATAATCAATGAGGCATACTAGATGAATCTTAATCTTGGAAAAAACCTATCCTATACATCCATTAATTTTTCTTGTTATATAACCATATAACAT